TGGTTTGTTAGTGCCGAAAACTTTTCACTGTCGAAGCAGCGCTTGTTACCTTGACCCTTGACCCCACTTCTATAACAAGTTCAAAGGTGATTCTTTGTATCAGCTACGAATATCAACAATATTAAAAACACGTCGTTTTTAAGGTATGTGAATATGTCGTAATCTATATAGAATCTTGGACGACTTTTTTTTTCTAAGCGTTATTAAAACAACGAGGGAAGGGAAAACAAATAGATCACACTGAACACGGCCTCCTGGTGGCTCAGCGGGAAGCTTGAAGACTTATGACACTACAAATCGGGGTTCGATACCCGAGAATAGCACAAACCAAAGAAAAACAAACAAAAGACACGGGACATAATTCGTAGATATTATAAAGTAAGCTGCGGATGGAGTCAATATAGATTAGACACGGAAATCACTCAAAGTTCAAATTAAATATTCTGTACTAACTAATATTTTATTGTAGTTCATATACAGAAACAGCATCTACTGTAGTGTATATATATGTTACACCTTTCACCGCAGTGTACATGTTACAGTTTTCACCGCAATGCACATGCTACACTTTTCACCGCAATGCACATGCTACAGTTTTCACCGCAATGCACATGTTACAGTTTTCACCGCAATGCACATGTTACAGTTTTCACCGCAATGCACATGTTACAGTTTTAACCGCAATGCACATGTTACAGTTTTAACCGCAGTGTACATGTTACAGTTTTCACCGCAATGCACATGTTACAGTTTTCACCGCAATGCACATGTTACAGTTTTCACCGCAATGCACATGTTACAGTTTTAACCGCAATGCACATGCTACACCTTTTACCGCAGTGAAATGTTACAGTTTTAACCGCAGTACTGTAACATGTACACTGCGGTAAAAGGTGTAGCATGAGCATTGCGGTTAAAACTGTAACATGTACACTGCGGTGAAAACTGTAACATGTACACACACACACACACACTACACGCTGACTCTCTTTATATTAGCATTTCAGAAATCAAAATTTTTAGCGATCCTGTTTGTAGCAGCGAATTTGTTTTTTTTTGTTGTTATTATCTCCGCCACCGAAAGGTGGACGGATATTATGTTTTCAACCCAGTGTGTGTGTGTTTGTTTATGTGTTGTCAGAAAGATTTCTCGAAAACGGCTGAATGGATCTGGACGAAAGTTGGTAAATATTTGGACTATGACCCAACTTAGAAGTGATTAGTTTTTGGAAAGTCAAGGTCAAAGTCACAGCAAGGTCACGAAAATCAAAAAAAAAAATCTCTTAACATGGGGACCTATTTTTCACACAATTTTTGTTCTATAACTCAGTCAAAAATGATCGGATTTTTGATGAAACTTGGTGGACATATGTAGCATATTATTCCTCATTATACTGCCAAAAATGGTCCGTGATCGTTGATAAAGACGTACATACGGACACATTTTCGTATTTTTTTTTAGAGCTGCGTGGCGGAGGAATGCGCTCTACTGAGCGCCCCTTTTTGTTTATAACGTATTTAATCATATCTCAACAAAATTATACCTTTTGAACTGATACGTAATGTCTTACGTTGCAAACAAATTTTGAATAATTAACTCATAGTTTACGCGTAAATCTGCCTAACTAATAACCAATTCATAATTTACATTAAATCTGCCTCTTCTGTGAAACGAACGTCATTTGTCGCAGTTCTTTCCATGCATGCTTTTAGTTTTTCAAGTTCAAAACATTAATAGGCCCGGCATGGCCAGGTGGTTAGGACGCTCGACTCGCAATCTGAGGGCGTACTATGATATGCTATATAAACTCGTTATAAAATAAGTGGAGTCGACTAAAAACCTAACAAAATTTATAGTTGTTATTCCCTAGGACTAACGTTTTTTGTTTGTTTGTTTTTGAATTTCGCGCAAAGCTACACGAGATCTATCTGCGCTAGCCGTCCCTAATTTAGCAGTGTAAAACTAGAGGGAAGGCAGCTAGTCATCACTCTTGGGCTACTCTTTTACCAACAAATAGTGGGATTGATTGTCACATTATAACGCCCCCACGGCTGAAAGGGCGAGCATGTTTGGTGGGACTGGGATTCGAACACGCGATCTTCTAGTTTAAAAACATTAACTTAATAAAATAATAACTCCAATTCTGTCAGGTCAACTCTAATTATTATGCCTTTTGTATAAGTAGCATTAAAACTCGTATGTTGTTTGAAGTGTAGTACATTTGATGTAGTCTGTCAATCGTAAAGACATTCTCTTTCTCCAGTGGACATAAACACCATGAAACTAAGTTACATTGTAACGGTGGCGACTTAGCTTTTAAACTCCAAATACATTACTTCGCACGATAACAGTTTAATTCCTAGACACTCTTAGAGAACGTTTCTGTTCCACTGTAATATTTTGTTTGTTGCATATGCACAAAGTTATTGACCAAACTATATATTCATGTTATATATCTTTAACCCTAACTATATAACCTTTGTGTTTCTTTAATGAGATAATATTGAATTTTAAACAAATAACAAGTTTGAATTTTTTCATTAAAAAAAATTACAACTTTATATCGTTACTTCCCATTATTATAGTAAACACTAAAGACTGTTATTTATCCAAACGTCTAAATTCCTAACAAACGCTAATGATTGTTAAATTCCATATTTCTCTATTTCTAATATATACGCTAATGATTGTTAAATTCCATATTTCTCTATTCCTAATATATACGCTAATGAATGTTAGATTCCATATTTCTCTATTCCTAATATATACGCTAATAAATGTTAGATTTCTATACTTTCTCGTTCTTAAAAAACACTAGTAATTGTTGTTTTTCCAAACGTCTCTATTATTAATGTACTTTAATCATTGTTACTTTCCAAACCTCTCTATTCTTAATGTACTTTAATCATTGTTACTTTCCAAACGTCTCCATTCTTAATGTACTTTAATCATTGTTGTTTTTCCAAACGTCTCCATTCTTAATGTACTTTAATCATTGTTACTTTCCAAACGTCTCCATTCTTAATGTACTTTAATCATTGTTACTTTTCCAAACGTCTCCATTCTTAATGTACTTTAATCATTGTTACTTTCCAAACGTCTCCATTCTTAATGTACTTTAATCATTGTTGTTTTTCCAAACGTTTCCATTCTTAATGTACTTTAATCATTGTTACTTTCCAAACGTCTCCATTTCTAACGGACAGTAATGACTGTGACTTTTTTATACTTTCACATTATTGACAAACACTAGTAATTATTACTTTTCCAAATTTCTATATTCATGACAGACCAGTGTGGTTCTTACTTTTTGTTTCTGGTTACTTCTTCAGTATAAATAATGAATCTTTAAACAACTATAGAAAGACGCTATAGAAATCCTAACACTAATTATATCATTATCCTAAAAGATACGTAAAGTGAGAAACTTGCTTGCGAATTAACTTCGTAAGTGTCATTTTACTTGATATAGTTAAGTTAGTTATTTCTTGATAAAAACTTGGATCTATTTTAACTATTACCGTATTTTTCGGTGTATAAG